GAGCGACGCGGGCAGCGCCGTCCCACACGGCCGCTCCGCTCCCACGCACAGAACGGAGCGACTAGGTGGAAATATCCCTGCTTTGGCTCCGTGATTTTCCATTTCGAGCTACCACGTCACGTCTCCATGCCGGGTACGCGTGCCAGAGCGCTGGCATTGCGAGCAAGGGGCTCTAAGGGACGTGGGTTTGGCCTCGCAGCACTGTTTACGCCGTGGTTGCCCCTCGAGGCAACGGCCTGTTCCCATCCCCATCCTCCCGACTCCAACCATCCTGACAAGCCCCTGAAAAACTGCAATTGGAAAGCAAGCAACCAAACAAACTGCACGTCTCCGAGGTGCCGGGGAATATCAAAGCAGCAGCAGGAAAACTTGAAGGCTTCCTTTGAGCAACCCCCTCCGTTCTGCCTCCAAAGCAGCAGTTCTCCTCCTGCTCCCCAACGGGCCCTGCGGACGCACAAGACACGTAGGTGTCCCCAGATCAGGAAAGAAGATGGAAAACAGCATCCGAACAACAGGCAGGACTTCTTGGAACCGGGCCAGGGACACTGCTGGAGCCTTCGGGGTGAATCTTACTTTTCTGCAGTCTTTTACAGCCACAGACATCCCCGTCTTGTTGACGGGTTTCACATTCCCCGGGGACGCTCAGGTTACCCCTCACTGTGGGAAGAACCATTTCAAACAACCAGGACCCACATAAACCAAGAACCTTTCACCTGAGAAAGAACAAGCCCGGCCTGATATCTCACTGCCAACAACCGGGTGCTTTGAGAGGTTTTTTGGAGCAGGCAGGAGCTCTGGATGCAAAACGTGCAGCCCGAGCAGAGCCCTCCTTGGGGGTCAGGACCACCAAGTGGTCCTGTGTCAACCAGCACCAGCTTCAAGGGAACGGAGGAGCTCGAGGAAGCCGGTGGCAGCTACAGCAGGAGGGAAACACAGGCAGAGCGAAGGGAATATAGGAGGGATCAGCACCACATCTGAGCTCCATGGAGTACATTAGAACCAAAAGCTTGACTTGTAGGACCAAAAATAAAACTGGAGGAACGCAGCATCCGTATTCCCTCCCTGCCAAAGCAGCCCTTTGGGACAACTACAGTGATTCCCAGGACCAAAATTCTAAATATTCCCCAAGGAGAGACAGCGATCTGCTCCCGAGACAAAACCCACAGCAAGGGTCCTGCAAATCTGCAACGACATCAACCCCGGTTTCTTTCCTCCTTGTAAAGCAAAGTGCACATGCCAGACACCTGGAGTACCCAGCACAGCCTGTTATTTAAAATATCCACTGCCCTTCACGCAGCACAAGTGACCGAGGAGAGGAGCTTGACAGGTGGATTACGGTCTTGATGAAATATTCACATTAATTTGCTAGCTCTGGATCCAGACCACAAGGCTGCTTCCTCTCCGCCGATGCGACTGAGGGTTTTTGCCTTTATTTTAATCAGCTCACTGCTTTTAAACAGATACACAGCCATTTTCTTACATGTTTTTCTACATGCAATTGCTTCTTAACAAAAAGAAGAGAAAAAAGATAAACTTCAGAAGAGAAGTCTCCATATATATATTTATAACCTCCTTAAAGCATAGACTCGCATAAAGCACCGCATGTGTTTCAAGAGGACACGCTTCTAACATTCACACCCAGGTGACTAACCTGCATCTAATAACAACTAATAACACAGGTAAGAGCCAATTAACCTTAATGCAGTGAGTAAACACACTCATTGTGCCTGGACTGTAACAAAAACACGAAACAAAACAACAACAAAAAAGGCACATTCCAAAAAAGGTGTTCATGCCATCGTGAAGATACCACATCTGGCTGGTCAAGGTGTCTAAAGCCAGTGAAAAACTGTCATGCTCGAGGTGCTGGATGAACCGATGGCCTCTAAAACACCGATTAGGGCCAAAAATCACTCTTCTCTACATAGACGGCCAGAAAGAGCCTGGAATATCATTTAAGCACCAAGGGCCACAAAGGCCTTTTCGCTGGCAAGACCACCCAGCCAACCCCCAAGTCAACACTTAGGGACACCAAGGCAAGTCTCTGGGTGCTGAACCCTGTTCTCTGCACAGACACAAGCAGACAGAGATATAACTGGGCCCTTAAAGCAGAGACTCAAAACTGCAGGTCATTAAATATATAACACATCCAGAAGCATCTAAGACAACTCTGTCTTATCATGTGTTACACAAAATACAGTCCATATGCTTCAATGTGCTACCACAAAGACCCCTGCTACTGCTACCGCAAGGAGATCTGGAGATCACGATCTATAGATCAAGCACCCAAGACTTTAACCTCAATTCTGCTTAAACTCTTTATTTATACCATTTTAAGACCACTCAAGAAGTCTCAATCCCTCTTTGAAGACGGATTCRCTGCCATTCACTCTGCAGCTTGGATCCTTGGGGAAAAAAATGGAGTTTTAAACCTGTTCATCACTCCAGCTGGGAGATKGCAATCAAGGAATCATGTTCACAGACACACACATAGTTTAGAGACAGTCCATCAATCCAGAAAAAGACCTTCTTAATTGAGACATGCTCTCCTCTTGGCAATCCACTATTACAAGGTCACTCTGCTGTGCAGGGCAGCTCTCTCAAAGCAGCAGCACTTTGTCTAAGCTCTACCTTTGCTAATAGCTGATGATGCCTCTTCCCCTCTATATATATTAAAAATAAGTTCCTGATTTACACTACTACAATTGCACAGCATGTATCTACAGGAGATGCATGGAATTCCTGCAGAAAAGACAGACCTACTGTTTGACTGATTACATACAATTACTATTGCATATATTTTTATATACAATAGGAAACAGCACTGGTTATGATTAAAAAGAAACACAGTGGGAGAGGGAGGAATTGAATGGTTACCCATTGAAGTAGTAGTATAATATTTGCCTGACACCTTAGGGAAATAAATATTTGCCGGATATGTTTTCAAAATAGACATTTCATGAAAACTTTTATTTAGGAAATACCATAGCAGAGAACGTGTGAGCCTGGCTGAAGGCAACACAGGCAAATCCAGTGGTCCATGAACAACCATCCTCATCTTTCCCACAGGAACAAACTGATCCTTTGGTGCCTTGTAGGAGGAAAGCGACTGAAAATAATCTCAAGGCACCTATTTAGGAAAGGAAGAGTTAAAATATAGTGATGGAGCAACAGGCCAGAGCCTCCTCACCTCGCAGGAAAGCCACCTTAACTAATCCATCTACGCCTCGTCTCATTGAATATTTAGATATTCACCTCACTGAAGAGCACCTCGGTGCTGTTCATCACTAAGCACAATCTGTAAGTCAAATTCCAAACTCCTCCTCCACCCTATTTCTCACAGGGGCCTCTCAAGAATGCCAATATTAAACCATACAAACAAAAAAAAAGTAAGATAAAACCAAGAGCCAGAACGTGCATCCCTAGCAGCTCCTCCACAAAACTCACTGCTCAGAGAAAAGACTTAAGGGATGCCCCATGGCCAGGCTGATTTTTCTGGGCATTACTGGCCGGGAGCATTTGGGTGGAGCAATTATGGAAACTTTTGCAACCTTAAACTCCGTGCTGTTTTTTCCAAGTAAGCACTAACCCACATGGGGGGTCTGGCTGCAGCACTAAGAGCAGAGCTATCACGCAGTATGTGGAGCATTATAAGCCTCAACTCTACAGGAACACACTTTAGGGGTTCGATTTTCAAGTGGTTTGTATTTCTGAAAAAAATAATGCAGGAGGAGGAAAAGAAGCCACAGATGAAAAGGGAGTTCAGTTAAATGCACTGCTATCATGTATGTAGGGAAAAGAGAGGAAATCCACATACAGTGTCACTTTGGAAAGAGGAAAAACATTTTTTTAATTTGATTTTTTTTTAAATATAAGAGTGCAAATGTCCTCCACGCAAGGATGAGCCATACTGCAATTACTGTAACTGCATCTGGTGACAAACCGACCACTTTGGCTCTACTCTGGTGCCATGTGTCATCACCAGCTCCTCTAAACCCAGCCGAGTCCTCATCCAACCAAGGCTTCTCAAGTGATTTTTGCTTCATGCTTAAAACACAAATGGAGTCGGTTTGCATTGTTATTTAGAACATTYGTCCAGGAAAAAAAAAAAAAAAGAAAAAACAAACAAAAAAGGGGAGAATTAAAAGATTTTTTTTTTAATTAGAAACATCGCCCCTCTCCTACCCAACAAAGCAAACGGAGTCATCGCAGCTGGAAGAGGAAGAGAGCTGCTGCAGCTCAAGGGCTGACAGCCCTTGAAGACCGTCAGTGCTGCAGGCACCAGCGAGCAGAGCCTGCTCCAAACTCGCCTCTCCAGAAGGACCTAGGCTCACCCCACCTAGAACAAGTGCTGATAATAAGCCGAGCCACCCTACACTTCCCATTTAGTTAAAGCAGAGAGAGAAGCACGTCCAGGAGAGACTGGGAGCCTGCGTGGGATGAACCATTCTCTGCAGCAACCGATCTGTCCGTGGCTCCTGCCCATCCAAGCACCAAGCCGTGTTTCAAGGCCAGGCCAGCTCCCAGCACAAGGTGACAATAACCTGCACTGCTAGGGAGCAAACGGAGACTTCACTCCCACCACCTCTGCATGAGACAAATCCCCCTCCTGCCTTTTTATGGGATAGAAGAGAAAAAAAGAATAAAGGGGATGGGAGACAGGAGGCTGTAGCTAAAAGCAACCAGCGTCCCCGAGTTTGCTCACAGTTACACAAGCTGAAAAGGCAGAACAGGGTGGCAGCGAGCGGCGTGGGGAGAAATGTCTGTTCCCATCTTCTGCCTTTTGTTTGCATGGATTTGCTCAGCCTCTAAATTATTTGTTTCCCTTCCCAACAGCCTCCTGAGCGCTCCAGCCCTGCCTGCGCTTGACAGCAAACAAGCAGCCCGGTCCCCAGAGGGGCCGGAGCATCCACAACTCCTGCTGAATACAAACAGGGCTCTCCACCTCTGCAGACACGGCCTTGCATTCGGAYGCTGCAAACCCCACATCTAAACCCCACCTTGCTCTGAGCGGCAGCATCCTCCTTGTTTTTTCTCTGCTGGTACCACGGGAAAAGGCTCCCGGAGGACTGAAACGGCAGCTCTGCCAGGCGCCCTGCTGCGCAGCACGATGCTCAGTCCCGACCTGCTCCACGAGCCAAGAGGTGACGAGAGGTGGCTCCAGGCCCACGTCTTYGGGTTACCCCTTCAGCAGCAACTGCAAACCCAAGTTTTTGATATTTTAGTAGCTACGAGACTAGCAGAGGGAGCTGCTTTCACATAGTAACACACCATAGTAACGGAGGCAGAGGATAACGCATCGAGCGGAGCTCGTGTACACACAGGCTCCTCATTTTTGGAGGGGAAGAACAGGAGGACTAACTGGGGAAAGAAAAACCTTCCCCCTATGTAGAAAGCCAGGTATAGGCGGCAATATTTGTATAAAGGACAATGTGTGACCCAGGGCTACTTAACTCCCTGTCATCCCGCTGCGGCTCTGGGTTTCCCCAGGTCTCAGAGAGCCAACACCAACCTCCGCACGTTACTGATGCAGGTCAGAAGCCCAAGTGCTTTACAGATAGAGATGAGTTACCAGGGGTGTCATTGGGGCTTGGACCTGCCGCGACTTCCTTGCTGCAGCTGGGGCGGTGCAGCTGAACCTTGCCAGAGAAATCCGTGCTAAGCTCCAATGCCTCTATAATGTAATTAAGATAAGCCAGAGAGCACCCAGCCTTGGAGAGAATAGCTGAAATAAAACACAATCCCATCCCCAAAGGTGGGTAAGGGCTCTTCAAGCGTGCGGGCACAGACACGGTGCAAGTTAGTGCCAGGAATTAAAAGAAAATAACAACAAGCTGAGACAAATGGCTCCCTTTTCTGAGCCACGGATCCCAAGTTATACAATACATCAAGGTCACAGACCCGACTGAGTTTATATAAAGTTATCACTAACTTGCAGCTTTTCTCTACAGCAAACAAAATGCAATCTCCAGTTTGTTTGCTTCTGCTCTTCTGCTCTGTTTTGTTTTTGTTTCTCCTCCCCCTCTTCATCTCTTAAAGAGAAATTGGCTTAAAATAAGCTGTTCCAGATAATGAAGTAAACTCCTGGCTTGATACCCGTGGCGAATCGCTTCTTAAAATGTCTTTGGACAGGGCGCTCCTGGGCTCGGGGCTGCCGGAGGAGGAGGTGGCCGGAGGAAGGGGCTGCTCCATCCCTGTCCCGCCGCAGCGGCCGCCCCGCGTGGATGGGAACTCGCGGCCAGGCGGGCACCTACTTTATTCGGGGCAGAAAATGCMAAAGTGCAAGAGGAAAAACACCCTGCAGGGGTGTTGTCCGGGTGCATCGGTCAGTCTRAAGAATTTAAGCTCCCTCCTAAAGCTTCCCAATAGCTCGGGAAGGAGAGAATCCTTTACAAAAAAATCTGTTGCTTGAGTTTTCCAAGAGCCGATGAGCAACGAGTCCCTCCCACGCTCCGAGCGGGGAAGGGAGCTGATCCCGGCGGCGGGAAGGGGGCTGATCCCGGCGGCGGGAAGGGGGCTGATCCCGGCGGCGGGATCACGCGTTTTCGTGGTCCCTCCACACGGGTGAGAGGGGGCTGCGCCGGCGGCGCCCCCGATCCCGCGGGACCCGCATCCCTCCGGATGGAGGAGCCCGCGGGGAGGCCGCGGCACCCGCGCCCCGTTCGCGGCGGGACTTTAACCCGCAGCCCAAGGGCGTTTGATCGAACCACCGTCCCCGGCACGGCAGGAAGGGCAGCGCCGGGCTGGGAATGGGGAGCGGGCAGCCCGGGATCCGCTCCGCGGCTGTCACGGAGCGCTCGCGGCGTCCCCGCTGCCCTGCCCGCGGCGGGAGGGCGATGTCCCCTGCCCGCGTCCCGCAGCGGCTGCCACCTGCTCGCCCCGCGCCCGGGGCCACCCGGAGCCCCTAACCCGGAGGGGAGCCCCTAACCCGGGAGGAGCCCCGGAGCCCCTAACGCGCCCTCCTGCACCCAACACGGGCACGGCGGGTCCCGGGAGAGCCGGCGATTCGGAGCCCGCCGGGCCGGTCTCGGCGCAAGGGGGGCCGGGCCGGGGTGAGAAGCGGCCGGGGCGGCG